AGTATGAAGGCATTATACTATATACAAAAATCTCATTGATAATTTTTCTTCTCTCTTTTTCTGTATGTGTGTGTGTGTGTGGCTGCTAACAAGGAAATGAATATTTGAGATGAAGGGAAAAGATAACTGTATAGAAATTTCAAATAGGGCATTTTGGTTAAAATTACTAAATTAAAATTTAAATTCAATTGGGTTTTCTTTCCTGAAACAGAAAATGAAGAGCTCATAAGATGGGCATGAGAATCACATCATATTTTGAAATATTTCTATTACAATTTTCACACATATATGTTTGTATCACTAATATCCTATAATATTATAAGATAGTCTAATGGAATGTATAAAAATAGCATGAAATAAACCTGAAAGGGTCATCTTTGTAGCATAAAGATCAAGACTTCAAGGAAAGAGAAAGTTTCTTATCATTTGATACAGCTATAACTATTTTAAACCTCCTAGTTTAAGGAGTTTTATGTATATCTACTTGTTGGTTTTTCAAATTTGTCATTGTTTCAATATTTTAGGGCCAAAAGAAAATAATTTGGCGGGATAAAGGAGAATTTACATAGTCACCTAATGGTTACTATCTTGGCCACTTTAATATTATGCATTCAGATAGTTATAATCCAAGTAATTTCAACGCTACAGCATCCAGGTGATGCAAGTAAATGCCTTCAACAGAGAGGAGCCCCCTCATAGCAGGTGTCATTCACTAGTACCTGACTACGTAGATTCCTCAGGCTTTTAGTCTTACAACACGTTTCTATATAAAAAGAACCCACTTTAACTAGAAGGGTAGCAATGATTTTTTTCCTTAAGTTGATAAAAAGAAGTAGACAAAAATTTGTCTGTAATTCTCAAGTGGACGTGTCCATTTCCTAATTCCTAGATAATTAAGGAGGATAAAACTATATATACCCTGATCACCTCCTTTCAAGATGATTAAACTCATGATACAGTGGAATCAAAGCAAGTTATAGAGGTGGGGGACAATATAAGGGAATGGAGGGAGAAAAACCTTTTTCTTGGCTCCATAAAAGGTTGAGGGCCTAATTATTTTTAAGTATAATCCAACCAACCTCTTCTCACGCTTAGCTTCACTGAGTGACACTATTTGTGATGCCCAGTGTGCTGAAACTGAGCAGGTTGCTGTCAGTTTAAAAATGACTATAATAAAAGTGACCATGAAGATGGATCTTGTGATTTTGCGTTTCTAATCAGTCATCTGTGAAGAACACTTTTGCTTTGATTCAGCATACTGGTGACAGCCATGATTGATAGTGCATGAGGATGAAAAAAGGTTATTAACTGTCTTCCTATTAAGCTCAATGTTTTACCCCTCTAGGTGCATCTCATAGTTTAAGTTACTTACTCAGGTAAGGTCAAGAATGAACTCTATGGAGATGGTATCCATTCTGCTGAAAATGAGCAAGGCAGCCTTGCATTGACTCTTGTTTTTTAATTTAGCACTTAAATTACATTTAATTCCACCATTTTATTCATTAGCTAAAAAGACAAATTCTCCCTTTCCAACAGCATCCACAGTGAAAACACTAAATGTACAGAAAATAGTTTTAATTGTAAAGATTTGAATATAGAGCTGACTAGCAACATGTGTGTGGCATGTACATAAATCTATATTTAAACAGATGGTCATATGCTAAATAGTCTGAGGGTATGTTTGAGGGTAGACACTAAATTCATTTATGATGACAAAATAAATATCTCTCCAGTATATGCAAAAAATTGTTTAATTGTAAATAATTTATATGTGGCAGAGGAAAAGATAATAAAGAAAAAAATTACCATTTCTAGGAAATGCAAAGGAACTAATAGAATATTTAGATATTTGTTTTCATTTAAATGTATTAATTTATGAACTTCACCTTATTTTAATTTAAAAATTAGAAATATTACAAATAAACATGTGAATGACAGTATCTGTCCATGTCTTTGACTAGCATACACATGTTCAAATACAAATAGTCTTATAGAACCTAAGGTATTTAAAGTTGCCAAAAAAATAAATAAATAAAGTTGTCCACTAAGTAAGTATGTTATGTCATTAAGTGAAATAACAAATTTTTAAGTGTTATATTTCCTGGACCAATTTATTCATACTGAAGCTAAAAATGTACTGAAAGGTTTTTGCACGTTTCGTTGAACTTCTCTTTGAGAACATTTTAAATTTACAAGTTTGTTCCTGGAAGATAACAGATTAAATATATGCATTTTCATTTAAAACCATGGAATTATGTTTCTTTATACATTTCCCACTGTAAACACTCAGTACCTATCAAATGCAATGTGAATTAGCAAAAATATTAAAGGATATCAATAACTTGGCACTGAGTTAACTATTTAAACTATAACCAAATTTCAGTTCTCTGTGCTTGATGGTTCTTCATTGAACAACTGCACAGAATAAGAAAATGTTACCAGAATGCTATTAGAGTTTCACTGCAGGGGAAATCATATTATGTCCAAAAGTTTTCTCTAGCATATCATGACCTGTTTCTCCAGTCAGTTATTATACCCATTTTGAGTCTGTAATAAATTATATGCTGAAAATGTACTGTTTTAATATTAGGATCCATCAACAATGAAATATAGAGAAAGCAAGGAAATGAAGTTCAGGATTTCATTCAATTTCTTTCTAGAGCCACAAAAATTGGTTCTGTCCTACTTTGCTTAATATTACAATTGCTGTTTTAAGAAACCTTTCCAGTCCTCTAGGATTTTATGCATGCCAAGGATAATTTAAATACTTACACACTTTACAGCCTAAAAAAGTTTAGATGTTAGATCAATATGAAAGCTGTTTATTTAGTGAATTGTGTTTATGTGAGGTGGATTTAAGGGTAGATTTTAGAATTCATACAAGATTTCCTCAATATTGCATAGGAACTTCATTATGAAATGGATTTCTCTTTCTGTCCTATCCAACTTAAACAGACAAAGGCGTGTTCTGAAACTTTGAAATCAATGCTGAGGGCAGTGATAGAGGGGCTTATATGGTTAATGATAACATACCATACAAATATTTGTTAAAGGTTTCACCGTGGAATTACAATGGAGAAAAAGTATGCTGTGTTTCTCAAAAACACTCTGTGCTTTTAAAATCAAAAAAAGAAAGATGTATTTTCAATCTATCTCATGTTAATTAACAAGTCGTTCTAAAATATTAGCAAAAGTCCCATCTTATTCTGTCTGCCTACTTGGGAGTGTCTTAAGGAAAAGGAGGAAATTACAAAGACTGGGTAGGCCCAAGAGAAGCGCTCAAATTTCCCAGTTAAGGCTCTGCTTCTTCTCTAGAGAACTGAGATCTAGAACACACATTACACACAGCCCACATTTTAGGAAAGAACAGGCAAAGGGCAGTTTCAGGTGAAGTGCAGGTCATTTCCAAGGCAATCAGCATAGCTGAAAGTGACGTTGAGTTTTTGCAGAATCCAACACTTTGCAGACAGTAAAAGTTTAAAAAGGTCACAGTTTCCTATGGAACTCCAGAATGTTTCATTAATTTTGTCCAAGCAAGTGATAGAACTGGTGAAGAAAAACCCCATACCTTTGTGCAAACCCTTTAAATTTGATTCTGAGGCTACTGTGATTGGGTTTCAGGGAACACGGGGACACAAGGCATCTTTAGTTTAAAATATCTAGGGCTCTGATTACTTTTAGCTTGAAACTCTCTTGCGAAGCTCTCCCAATCTTACAGGCATCCCTTCCCCCGCCCCCTCCTTTCCCTCCGCTTCTTCTAGACCTACAGGGTAGGGGTATGAATTGGGTGGTGCACATCTGTGTAGCCAGACCCCGGAGGCTGACAGCTGCGGTCCACTCCCAGACCGTGTACCTGAGCGTGGCGGCCACTCTGCTCTTCTGCCCAACCCACTCCTGCCTGCAGTGTTGCCGCTGTCACACCAGCCGGTGATTTGATAGGCTTGTCGGGTTGCCATGGTGTTGACTTCTTGCCTCTGAGGAGCTGCCCAATGACTGGAGGTCTGGGATTAAAGCGGGAAGAGGCAGCGGCCACAGCGAATTTCAGCGGCAGCTGCAGCAGCAAGAAACAAGAAGTGAGAGGACGAGGTCTTTAGACTGCGCTCCGCCCGCAGCCAGGGCTGCCGGGGACGGAAGGGGTGGGGGTGGGGGTTGGGGGGGGGGGGCGGGGAGGTTGGAAGGATGACCACTCGAAGCCAGAGGATGCAAGTGAGGGGTTTGAGACGCGCTCAGGAATAACTTCTAAGTAATCGGCACGCGTTGAGAGGGAAAATCGTCCGCAATTCGTTATCATTCACACAAGACATGACCCGGGCGGGTAGTGGTGGGACTGGGGTGTTAAAAGGGACTTATGTGGGTGATACACTGCCCCCTTCAACCCCCACCCTTCAGTTTGCGAAATGAAGTCATTTGACAAATAAAGAGGTGCTATCCGGAGAAGTTTAAATCAGGATAACTAACTTAATCCTGAGAAGAGAAAGTGCAATTAGACGGCAACCAAGTAAAAGAAAATAGTAGCCCGGGGGATGGGGGGTGCGGGAACGATGCTGGCGTGAGAGGTGGGATGCAGAGGGTTGCGTGTGCGACGCACAACCCCAGACGGGAACTGTAAACTAGGAAATGAAAGGGAAAGAACCCGCTTCTGTTATAAATTAGGAGGTAGGTGAAGGTTACGCAAAGAAGAAAAGGGAAAGTAAAGCTGTTAAAAGAATAGAATAAAACCCCTGGGAGTTGAACTCGCAATCTTCCCCGCTCCCCTCTGCTCCCCCCACCCCACCCCCCCCGCGGCTCTCCAACCCAAGGGGAGAAGGAGGAGGAGAAAGAGAGTACATTCTGGCGTGATGAGAACTCTCTGGAATGTCTGGAGGAGAGGATAGGAGTGCGAGGGTAAGAAGACCCGGGTGCTAAATTAAAACGGCAGGAGAGAGAAACGGGGGAGGGGCGGGGGAGGCAGGAAATATTCGGCGATTCACCGGAGGGACGAAGAGATGCAGAAGAGAGAGATGCCAGGAGAAGGAAAAAGAAGTGCAGAAGTTCAGACCTGTAGCGTAAAGGCACTACTAGAGTCAGTAAGAGAGCAGGCGGAAAAAGGTGTGTGCAGCGGCGTGAGGGCGTGGGAAGGCCCCCTCTGTCAAGCAGAGGCAGCTATCGCCAGGACTGAGGCAGAAAGGACAGAGAGTTGCAGGGACTCGGGCGTTGGCGCGAGCACCGCGGGGCAGCACCCGCGAGCTGGGACCAGGTGCTGCGCCGCCAGCGCCCGGCTCGGGGCGACGCGGGGACTTCTCTGGCAAGAAGAAGAGCTGCTCGCTCAGCCTGCCGGAGTCACGATTCACCGCGAGTCCCAAACCCACGTCTCACTAACTACTTTACAGCCACTTTCATTGATTTTCTTTAACAAATAAACATAATACCCGTTACAGCAACACTTCCTCTTGCTGCAGCCAGAATGCCAGAAGCTCTGATGGTTGCATTACTCCGGACAGCAGTTCTCCTAGCTCTAAATGAACTATTTTCCTTCACTTAAAGGATCAGATGTGTGTGATGACCTTCAGGTTTGGGGCGTCCAGTCCCCCCCCCCTTCTCTATAGTTTGGGAATCACGTTTTAGTATGACTAGAAGACAGGTTCAGACACAAGTTTTCAAATCTGGTAGGGCTCACTGACATTTGCATATTAATCTTTGCTAATAAAAAGTAACTCAATTTGGAAGGGAAACGCCGGTAAAGAAATCGATTCCTTTGCAACTGCAGGGAAATTAACGCTAGTCCGACAGCCACACCTAAGCTACTCCCCTTGAGCTGTCTCTTAAAAATATTTCCTTTTAAAATAAAGAAAGTATTTATTTTAAAGTAGCCCCCCTCCAAGAGTGGTTTCTGCTCGAGGTTCTTCCATACATGTCAAAGGGTTGTTGAATTATTCATTATTGTAATTACTATCATCATTGTCATTATCCCTTTCCATGTGGAAATAATTTTATTATCGTAATTTGATATCTGAAGAATTTCCTGTTAGTCGTTTGATAATCATTTTTTTCTGCTGAAAAGAAAAGTTTTGTTTATAAATGAGATAGAGAAAATGTTTTAAATGCTTTGATGTTTGCTATAGATTTCCGTTTATCTAATCGATCGGAATGCCAATAAAATCGATTAAAGGTTTAGTGTTTTACAAACAACCATTTTGTGCTTTTGATTTTACGTTCAGAATGATTTTAATAAAGCTAATGTTCTCCTTTAACAAACCCTTTAAAAAACCCAAACCTTTATCGTTTTTTCTTTTATTATCAGAAATTGCCACTTAAAGTTCTTCTAATAGGAAAATTTTAAAAAATACAAGCAATGGCCGCAATGGTTTAAATTTCAACCTCTTGTTGTTCAAGGTATTTAAATAAAGCCCCTTAAAATCTTGGTGAATTATATGCGATCATTCAGTGATTGCGGAATATTAAATTAAACTTAGATAAATCCGCATTGAAGGAGGCAGCACCCAATCCTGAATTTATTTCCCATTTTCTCTAACAGCATCACTGCGCTCCTCTCTTTGCAATGACAATGTGCCAAATCTGGGCATTTTGAAAACATTTTCCATATGCTTTAACAGGGGACTGATAGACAAAGAAGAAAAGGAGATGATCTTTTTGCTCTGAGGTATATTTTCTTTAACCTTTTTCTGTTAGACTTTTACTGATAATTATTTTAAAGTAAAACTTGGAAAATCATTTAATGCTTTTTTTTTTTTGCTTTCAGCTTTTCTTCCCTTTCTTGTAGTTTATTCCTAAAGTGGAATTTTGATTACAATGTAAAGTTATCATTTCTATACCTTGACAAACAACATTTGTTTCAAAATCTCTGATTTGTCTGGTTTGCTAGCTGCCTTTTGTAATTAAAGATGGATTTAATTATACATTTTATAACTTAGATCAGATGGGCTGTTTGTTTGCTGTAGGATTTAATGGTGCTTTTGTCTAATATTTAGGGATGTTTCATACAGAGGTGGGTGGTGGCTTTTCTTCAACTATAAAGATCTGGACCTTTTTTTTTTTTTTGCCTTAGAAATGTGGATGTTTGGATGACTGTAATGTCTTGTTTTAAAATAATTTTGTTTGGTGGCTGCAGTTAATATATTGTCTATACTGCATTTCACTGACTAAATATAGATGTTTCAGGTTTAAAAAGATCACAACTGTATCTTCTATTCAGTGAAATCAGTTATTCTTTTTTTCCCTCGCTTGTCTGTCTTTTCCCATCTGCATCGTTGTCTGTTAGAGCTCTTCCCCAGACCGAATGTAAAATTTCGTTGGCTACTCTTGCTGGAAATATCTCCTTGTATTTTGAGAAGGGGTGTGTTTGTGACCCTGGATGGTGTGAGTGTGCAAGTGTGTGGGATGGGGGGGGCAGTGGTGATAAGGAGTTCTCATTCATTTGCATAAGAATTATAGAAGTGCTTGTGAAGTTGGTGAAGTGCTATTGTTTGGGAACAGACCCGTCTGATTTTGTTTATAAACACTGGGCTGGTTGCCTAGAGGGAAGGAGGTCACAGCACTGTCTGAGCCCTGACCTCTGGAAGGCCAGAGGGCGTCTGACTTTTCTCTTGTCTTTCCTTTCACCCCTGGCTTAATTCTTCCCTCAGACCCTCCATAACCCCCCTCCCCTCCCCATATCTTACCTTACCTGTGTCTAACTCTACATAATGACCCCCTGCACACGAGTGCACGCACACACAGACACAAAACCGGGTCAGAACCTCCAGGGGGGAAGAAAGGTAAAACCGATTTACTTCAAAGTTAAAGCAAAAACTGGACTTAAGTATAGAAAAGAGAGACATATATGGGGATATGGAAATACAGAGATAGAACCTGCGAGTAGGAGGGGGTCATTTTTATGTTTAAAAAACAACAACAACAACAACAAAAAAGGAGGCTACTGAGAAGAACCAGGTTGGGGGAGGGGAGAGAATCAGTGAAGGAGGGATTGAACTGCCCACAAACACTACACACAGACACTCACACACACACACACACACACTCACAATGCCTTTCCTGTTTGAATGTCATTTTATCTAGTTCACTCTCACCATCAAAGAGAGTGCCCATTCTGGATGTTAGTTCATATTTTAATTCTCTTCCCTCCCTTTTGTGAATTCTCAAGGAAAAATACTTTTTTTCATGGTAATGAGAAGTGGCTTTCCCACACAATTTCTTAAGTTATTCCACTGGAAATATAATGTTCGTGACACTTTCCCCAATATGCCTTGCACTTTCCGGTTCACTGTCAACTTCACCATCTCCCCGTTACATATAAACCCCCCCCCCACCACACACACACACACCTCTCCATTCAAACAAAATGACAGACATTGGTATCAGGTTTAAGTGTGTTTTGGAAAGAAGTTGCTGAGTTAAACAAAAATGTTAGTTAACAGACTGCCTTTGTTAAATAGCCCCCGGGTGGAGAAGACCCAACAGAAAGAGGGAAGGAGGAGGGGGGCTGAGGATCTGAAAGTGTCTGTGGTGATATAAAGAGTTCCTAACGCTGAAATCACTTGTAATACCTCGTTTCAAACTGAGCTCATCTATAGACCCCGGAAGCGCGGTCAAAAGACTGGGAACCTTTCCCCCTTGGGCAGGGGTTGGTCTGGGACTGGAAGACTTAAGGGAGAGGGAGGTGGGGTATTTATTAGAGACTTGGCCAGAGCAGGGCGGGGGAAGTGGGGAGTAGACAGCTAAAGCCTCATCAAACCGATGGGAAAGCCCAGAGTGTCCGCCGCAGAGATTTGGGGAATGAAATACGCCGAGGAAAAGTCTAGAAGTGGAAATTACCTTTTGTCTCCATGTTAATTACTCCTTGCTGCCAACACTCCACACCCAACCACCTGGTCGCCCTCTTGGATGCTCCCCCAGCTCGGCACCCGGGGTCAGGGTCCGGGTGCTCAGCCGGGGGCTGGGCTTTGCAGCCCTGGGGAAAGTGCAGAAGAGGGTCTGGGCAAAGTTCTGGGTGCGGCAGGCAAACCTCGGCTCGTTTCACTTTGGAATCAAAAGTGGCCCAGCGTTCTGTGAGGGCGGCGGCGGGTTCGCGCAGAGTTTAGGGACAGCAGGATGATGGGGGTGGGGTGGGGGTGCAGGGTCAAAGGTGGACGGCCAGGAGCCCGCAGGGACTCGAGCGGAGCAGCTGGGTTTCCCGGAGCCAGGGACCGAGGACGAGGCCGCCGGGGGCAGCGGCCCAGCCGGGTCGAGCCTGGCGGAACGCGCCCGCGCCCCGGAGCAGCCCGCCGGCTGGGCTCGAGCTCGCCCGCCTTGCCGCGCCCCTGCCCGCGGTGCCGCGCTCAGCGCCTCCGGGCCCACCCCTAGCAGACCTGCGGCCGCGGCTCCCAGCTCCCCTCCGCGCGCTCCAAGGCCGAGCCCTGGAGGAAACTCTTGACTCTGTGCTAGTTCCTCTCTGCCCCTTCCCCTCAGCCCATTAACCCCCGACTCTCACCCCAGCCTGTCTTCTTAGGAAAGAGGTGAAAGAGGAGCAGGAAGAGATGATTCAAAAGAACACACACACACACACACACACACACACACGAAGGGGGAATACTTGCTAGCAGAAGAAATTGCAAAAGTGGGCGCTCCTCTTACAAATCCTTCTTCCTTTTGTTTTCTTACTTAGAATTTAATAACCAGACCCCCAACACACACACACACACACACACACACACACACACACACACACACACACACACCAGCTGTATTTTTCAAGAGAAGAAGGGATGTGGGCATAGAGGAGAAATAGCCACCAAATTTTTAAAAATGGTTTTCCTTATTTGACGTTTGGTATTTTGACATTAATAACATTAATATTATTGATGATGTTTTGGGGAGGGGGAGGCAAAAGAAATAAAGGAGAACTTGAAAACGAAATGATCATCATTTCCCTATTCTTCCATGCCAGAAATAGACCCCTTTCTTCACCTGAGCCTGAAACAGACTTATTGTTCTCAGGTGTTTCCTTCATCATAGGCATTTACCCGTCTGAAATCTCAGGAAATGGTTTTTCCATCAGTGAGCTTGTACATGGAACCCTCTCCCGCGAAGGGCTTGATCTTTTCTGATTTGAACCTGAAAGTTTCCCTGCCTTCATTTCCCCTTAGCCTCTTTAAAAGCCCCCATCCTCTTCCCCATACACGCACCTCAAATAGTTTTAAAGCCAGAATTTTTGCTCTCTGGGGTGTTTTTCGATAAACAGTAACGCTACATAAACACCTTCTTCACTTGTAAGTTGCAGGGAACTTAAATTTTACTCTCGTGGGTATGTATATTTCCTAAGGCACATGGATAAACCCCACTGAGGCAATCAGACACCCACTAGCAGACTCCTGAGAGAGTTGCCATATAAAGGTGGGGCTGTAAACAAAGTAACTCCGAAATTTTAGGAAGCCATCCACTCTGGGCAGATTTCTTCCCAAACAAGTTTGAAATGGAAGGAAGTCTTTAGAGAAGTAGATAGTTTTCTTTCTGTTAATGTTTAGTAGTCCTGGTTTCTAACACACTAGTACATGTACCGACTCTAGATTCCTAAGGTGGGAGATTTTTTTTTTTTTTCCTCTCTCTCTCTTAATAAAGACCATATCTAGGGTTTATTCTCCACTCCAAGCCTCTGCACTTTCATTGTAACCTTAACCAGCTGCTGTAGGCAACCAGCTTTCCTGATCTGGGCCTAAGTCTGCTCTTTTGACGCCTGTGCTTTTATCTTCCCAGGTGTTTTGTTTGGTTTTTTAATCCCATTTGCATCAGTTTTAGGATTTTCCAAATGTTCCCTGATAACACAAGGTTTCAGGCCCAGAAAGATGCATGTTTGCAGGCTCTGTTGTTCCTAGTGCTTGCGCAATAAACCTTTCAGTTGGTATTTCCTAGATTTGGTGCTTAAGGCCTAAGACAAGGTTTTGAAGCAGACCCTGGCCATCCAGAACTTCAAAGGCCTGTCAGCTCCAAAGGAGCTGATGCCTCACCTGTCCAGGAAGGGGCCATTGCAAGTATTTCCTGTTCTTTGCTTGTTTGATTTGTTACTCTCACCTTCTCTCTAGAATTCCTATTTTTGAAATATTGCATAGACGGTGTCTACTTGTAACCTGTGGTGTGGCGTTGTATCGAGATGCTATCTTGAGTAACAATGGATATATATAGAGAGAGATATATATTCCATATTCAGTAGGGGGTATTTAAAAGTGTGTCTATTCCTAGTTTTAGTTAATTATCTTTTAATGAAAGTGTCACTCATATTCACATCTGTAATATTGGAAGGAGATAATTAGATTTTCAAATGAGAATCAGCCACCTTAAATTTTGCGCCAGAAAATACCAAGTATATTTCATTCTAATGAGATCTGTAGTGGGGTTTTAAAATTCATCATAATGTGCTTCAAGAAAGATAATTCAACAGACTCACAAGATGAAAGGTTTTCTTCCTAAGTCTTTTTAAAGCTATTACATTGAACTTATGCAATTCTGATAAAATATTCAAAAATATTACATAAAGGCTAGCATCAAGACCCTCATGAACACCCTTGCAACCAGCACTTATCCTCATTTGAAAGTTTACTTTGACTAAACTAACCCCTTCCATCTTCCATGCCCTGGGTTTTCTGTCCTGCATCTTGCCAACGAAAGATAACGTGTTTAAATTGAGTGTCTACGGATCCTGGGTGCAATCCCGCCTTTTGAAACAGGCAGAGCAGAGCGGTGTTTGCACACAGCCAGGCACCCTTTATTTACATATATCTGCATATTTGCTCAGGATCCTGCATTTAGCCATTAAAGTGCTTTCCTGGAGGTAGCAGAAGTAACTCAGCAAAGAAAATCTTTCCAGTGCCTCACTCTCCTATTGCTGCTTAAAGCTCCCTAGTAAACACATCTCTGGTCCGATAATAATTACTTTGCCTCATTAAAATGAGAAAAAAAAAATGTCTTTTTCCGAGTGGTTAAAGGGCACGGCTTGGGAGGTATTTGTGTTTTATTTTCTCCCCCTCCTTGCTGAGTGTGTGAGTGTGTGAGTGTGTGTGTGTGAGTGTGTGTGTGTGTCTAATGAAGTTTGGGAGTCGCGCACAGGGGCGCGTGGGGTGCGAGCCCCGGAGGTCCCCAGTCCCTGCCCTCTCCGCGGTCGCCGCGTCCCGGGCTCCCGCCGCAGCGCTCCGAGCTTCGGAAGCCGCGAGGCTCCGGGGCTGCTCCGAGTCCGGGCTGCGCGTCATTTGCAGTCTGGGGAATGTTGATCACCTCACTAATTACACCTCTCTCTCCCCCCCGCTCCCTCTCCCTCTCCCTCGCTCTCCTCTCTCATTCCCAGAGTGCATATCGGGAATAGACACACAAAGACATGCGCACTCAACTTAATCAGCCATTTTTTTTAAACAGGGCTAAAACGATAATAATTAGCAGAATAAAGACATATCGGATTTTCATTTCCTTTCCTCCTTTTCCCAACCCCTTCACAACCAAACAGCGAGACCGCGGTCGGCACATGCTTTAACTCCTCCCGGATCCCCGAGGACCGCTCCATGCCCCCCACTTTCTGCTCCAGCGTTTTGATTTTCACCCAATAAAGTTCGAGGATTATTTTTTTATTTTATTTTTTTTTAATGAACCCTCTCGTTTTACTTGGATGTGATCAGCTGTAAGTAAAATAAAAGCAAAACAAAAAAGAGGCGAAGATCGAGTAGGAACTGCAGGGGAAATGGAAAGTAAGTTTTTTCTTTAACTTTTATTGAGTAGTTTGTGTTAAATTTAGGTCGAGTATCGATTATCTTTCCAGCCTGATCTTGCACAATCTTTGATATTTCGCTCCCTCTCTCTCCCTCTCCGCCTCTCTCCCTCTCTGCCCCCGGCTCGCTCGCTCTCGCTCGCTCTCGCTCACATCCCCTCAGCCCGACCATCTCTTCCGCTCTGCCCCCCTTTGCTATCTCTTTCCCCCCTTTTTTTTTGGCTCCAGGATTTGCTCTGCGGAGGGAGGGAGGGGGCACTGAAGGATCTGATTTTCCACTTTCTTGCGGGGGGGGGGGGGAGATGCGTTTTTCGGGATTTAACTTTTGGATTAAGTGGCGGATCATCCACGTTTGGCCGAGCAGTTTTCTCTCCTTTTGCCTGTCTTTTCGGGTTCTGTCTCCACCGCGAGCCCGGGGCTTTCTCGAGGCGCGGGCAAGCTGTCAGCTCCGTGGCCCCGCGGACACTGCCGGGGGCGAGGGGGGGGGGGCGCACCCCCGCGCCCGGGTCGGCACCCCCGCGCCCGGGTCGGCATGTCCCCTTCCTTCGCACCCCTCCTCCGAAAGTTTGGAAGGTGGTCGGTGGGGGCTCGGAACTCCTCTCTCCCTGTTCCCCTACCCTCCCGTTCAGCCTTGATTTTCTCCTCCTCTCGTCATCCACCGTTCCCTGGCTCAAGTTCCGCGAAGGGCGCTCGGTGCGCGGAGGCCGGGTGCTCCGTGCGCCCCAGGGCAGGGGGTTCCGAGTGGCTGGGGCGCGTGCCGGGGCTGCAGGTAGACGCCGGCCCGCCTGAGCGCGAGGCGGCGCGGACTCGGGTGCGGGAGGACGCCGGGCAGTTCCGTTAGGAGGCAGGATCGCCGGGCCTCGGGGCCGGGGACCCGCGAGGCGGCCGCAGCTCTCTCCCGGAGCTTTCGCCTCCGGGTGTGCCTTAAACCGGAGGACAGCTGCCCGAGGCCGGGGGTCAAGAATCTGGTTGTGGTTTTTTTTTTTTTTTTGGCAAAGGGCAAAGGGTGTGTGTGTGTGTGTGTGTGTGTGTGTGTGTGTTTATGGTTGGGAGAGCTGTGGCCGGTTGTGAGAACTGATTTATTCCCCAGTACCCCCGCCCCTCACGTCCCCCGAAAGGGGTTCCAGGTCTACAAACGAACTTAACCTTCTTCGCCTCTCCGGGCATCAAGTGCGCCTTCCGGCCCGGAGCAGCTAAGGGAAGAGGGGCTGGAATGCGTCGGGTCTCGCCTTCCTTCTACTTCTGTCTCCTTCCCCTCTCCCTCCCAGGCTTTCTGCTCTTTTCGATCGGAAAAATAATAATAATAAAATTTCTCCTGGAATTGGATAAAGTTTCTCTGCCGATGCCCAAGTTCCAGAGGAATCCCCACCCTGTCCCCCTCCCCCCTCCGCCACCCCCACCCCAGCCCGGAGGACCGTGCACTGGTTTGTATTTCTTTTGTTACCTGCGATCCGGGCGGGGGGCTCCTTTCGGCCGCTCGGGCTGGGGTCCGGCCCAGAGCGGAGGCTCGGGCTGGCGCCTTTGGCCGCGACTCCTCGCTCCCGCGCGGTTGTGGTGAGGTCTTAGCTACCGTTCGGTGAGACACCCTCCTTGTAGGTACCAGAGGTTCAGATCGCGAACACGGATTCCGCCCCCCCAACACACCCCGACCCCTGCACACACACACAGACACAGACACACACACTCACACTCAACACACACATTCTCCCTACTCCCCCCCACCTCCAGCCCCCACCTCGCCTTTCCCCTCCCCCCTTCCAAAAAAAGCACACACACACAACAACAACAGCCCCCCCAAACCAAACAAAAACCCAAAGACAAGTTCACTGGCGGAAGATGGTGGATTGACACTGACTCAGTCAGAGGCAGGTTCACCAGGAAATCTGGCGGTCCCGATTTCTGACAGTTGCATTTCCTCTCCTTGAGTCCTCCCCCCCCCCTTTTTTTTTTATTAACTCTGTTCCATGTTTAATCAAGGATCATGTAGATGGCAAAAGGAGAGACAGAGAGAGGGGAGAGAGGAAGAGAGAGGAGAGAGAGACAAGAGACAGAAGGAGGGCTTTTTTTTTTTTTTATTGTGTTCTCCTGGATTTTCAGTGGCTTGATCCCTATAAACGTGGAGTGGTTAAAGCTCATATGTAGTATTATATTTTTAGTTGGGTGGATGGATGGAAGAGTCAGGGAGAGGCTGCGGCTGCCGCTGCCTTTTCGGGTGTTGCTTAGATTAAGGCTGAGACTTGGCTGCGATTGGGACGCGACAGTGACACGGGCATCGATCGCTTCCATTGAGAGCAATGCAAAAACACAGCCCGGGTATGTAACACTCTCGGTGCCATCAACACTTGTTTTACTTTATATTTACTGGCAAAACTGACAGAGCAAGCTCAGACTTTCTCTCTTTCTTTCTTTTTTCCCCCTCTTTTCTCTTTTCTAACTGAAGAATACAAACAATTGGGTCTAGAAGTTGTTGGAAAGGATGCTTTAAATACAACAGAAAGGAGAGATTGGGATTATTTCACTATCTCTATGACTGATTGTGTTTTAGAGTTTTTCTTCTCCACAGAGGAGCATATTAAATAAAAGGAAGGTTTTCTTTTTTCCTTCCTCTTCTTAAAAAAAACAAATCCTTAAGGGAATATTTGATAGTTTTCAACGTTTGCGGTTTCAATCAGCAGGAAGGCACACAAAAATAAAAGATGGCTAGCCAGCTGTTTTAACCTCTTGCACCTGGCTTCAGTGTGGGGATCATAAGGTTTATACAAGTTAGTGTTTTTTTTTAAGATTCTAATATTTATGGCATAAACTGGGAAGAGAGTATCACTGTGTATTTATTCAGTAGCTGGTTGCTTTTGGATTTAAAAAGTAAACTCATATTTAAGTGTTTTCTTTTTTATGGCAATGAAGATAGAGTCAATGAAATATGGGGAAATACCATAAATCTGAAAAGTGAAATGTACCTAAGGAACAAAGAAAGGTCAGGTAAACCAGCTGTGTAAGTCAAAGCAATAGCACCAATTGTAGGGTAAACAGGGAGAGTGGACTCTAGGTCTAGGAAGTGAAAGTTGCCACTTAAAGTTAAAAATGAAGGAAACATGTTCAGCTTTATTGTAATCTTTTGCAGTTTTTAGCAGATGAGTCCAGATCTGCTCATTAATTTTGAGCTAGTTGGATTATTTTAAAAGATGCTGCACCAGCAAAGGAAAACATAAAGGAGGTTGAGAAAATCGCTGTTTAATATTGCAGAATTTACTGCTTCCATTCTGACCATGAGCCTAAATTTACACAATGAAATTTGATTATCTCTAATAACAATATTAGATCCTGCACTGGATGGATGAGAATTGAGGTGGTTTTGTTGATTGCAAGGGTTTAATGTTGCATTTCAGAATCTGATGTGGTTTGGCCTCCCTTCCATTAACTGGAAAACCCCTGAGGTTTTACAATTATTTCTTAAAGATAATACATTTAAGATTGCATTGGTAGGCTGAAGAAAAGTCATAAAGGCAAGAAGGGAAGCCCTTAATAACTCTTGAGATTCAGACATGTTCAGCAGTTAGATTGGCTCTGACTTCACCAAGGGTCGACAATGTGTCATTTCCACGAAGCCAAATTGCCCTCTGCCTATATGATATTAATGTGCAAATCAATATTTCAGGGATTAAATTTCCCTTCTTCATTTTTTATGGTTTCTACCTCAATAAGTCTCAAGTCTATTAGAAGAGGCTGGATGATTTAAAATCTTTCACTGCAGAATGGCTTGTCCTCGTAGTCTTGTTTCACTAGACCATTTTAGGAATTTTGTTATAAAGACTAAGGGCATCCTAAAGAAGTTGCAAGGCAATGTAGAGGCAAGCTCCATAGCCTAAAGTCCTTGTTCGATTAAGAGCTAAGAAGTATTGGAAATATAATATATATGTTTATGTACTATATGTGTATATGCACACATACATTCTGCTGCTTTAAAAATATTATGTTAATCACCTATTGATTAATTTCAAAATCAATTGAAGTTCCTTTCTTATTAGTGACTTGTTCAGCGTTCTTGAAGACTGTGTTAATTTTCTTAAGGAGTATACATGGATTAGCTTGGTTGTGAAGGTCTTTGGGAGGGATTTTCATCTAGCAATGTTTTCTCTAAGAAATATTTCTAGAAACCATTGTTGTGAGAGTAATAACCAAGTATTGTCATCTGCATCGTTGTCATGACTATCATTGCATTTGGGGCTGAGTGATTTAGCTGCTATCTGTTGAAAGAGGCCTTCTTCCATTCACTTAATATTAGTTCCTAACACTTAGTAGGCACAATGTTTCTTTTAACCCTCTTGGAGAAGCACTAGTGTAAAAGAAAATATGGGATTTGACGAGAAATAATACAAAGCAGAAATTTGGGAGGTCAGAATAAAAGATTGTGACTTTATCACATAATCTTGGGAAGGCCTACTGTCTATCATTTGGTGGTGTTTTATAGTCTAAAACCATCTGGACCAAGTTCCGCACAGCTGCACGAATTTCATATGTGATAGAACATTTTTTCCATTCAGTGTGAAATGTTCCTTCCTAAAACACGTACACCAGACTCGCTTAATTTAGTCTGTTAAAAGAAATGCACATGAAAAAGGACAAAAGGCTCTTTAATCTCTGCAAGCTGTTTGTTTTTCTTCAAGATTCCTGTCTGTTTGGGTTTGAAAAGTCATGTTTATTGAGGAGATGATTCTGAGGTGTGACATTAAAATAATATATGATTTTTGGACTGGTGGCCACGCTCCTGCTTCATTTGCAGAACTACTTTTTATGCCTGTCAAAACACAGAGTTAATCTATCCTTATTTACAATTAATCTCAATAAAATTAATCTTAACTATGCTTTATTCAGTGGCTTAAAATATCTAATTATATTCAATTAACTGCTGTCATAGTAATTAACATTGCTTAATTGCCTCTGCATATATTTATGTAAAGCTCATTAGGTGCTGCTGGCTCCTTTTTCCTTTGCTACTTGCTATTTTTGCTGTTGTCAAATCATTTTCATCTCCCAGTGTTCAACAATGTCAGTGACAGCAACTGCTTCCTTCACATTTTTCTTGAAATGAGTGTTATTACTTACCTATGAGTAGATACTAGTTATGAGTCTTTAAAGATGAATCCACTCCCCGCCCCCCAACCCTTCAATCACTGTTCCCTTATCCCTGGTCCCTAGCACACTCACAAAATATTTTCTGTCATTGTTGCTAGAAATATGAGAAGCCAGGTTAAGCTTTGTGTTTATAAATGAGGAGCCTTTCTGTGTCTGCCTAGGGGCTGTACCCATAGGCAGAGTTGTGTTTTTTCTTTTTTTTTCCTCTAAAAC